AATATAGATAAAATGAATACTCATTTTTATTGGTGGCAACGACAAAGTATTGTTTGTGTCACAGTCGGTGGCCACGCTCACATCCTTGATCTTGAAAGTAAAACATGTTTCAGAAATAGTGCAAGTCTGTCTTCTGTTCAATGTAGTTTTCAATAATTTACAAAATAAAAAATTCTCAAAAGTTCAACAATATTGACTTTGAGGAAATGGTTCGTTTCTAAGAGCTATTCCTCAAACAACGCACCATTTATTTATTCTAGGAGCATGTCTTACGAAAATTGAACAGACAGAAATTGACTTGATGAGTTCCACCGTAAAACAAAAACAGAGTAAATATGCGAATGTGTCCTTATGAGTAATTTTTCTAACATAATGAAAGAATAAAGAGATGGTTTATCTTATATATCCTATAATGGGTGCTGCAAAAAATTCTGTATGAATTTTCTTTTTATCCCTGCACCTTGTACAAACATCCTAATCTCTTGATTCTTTTTTTGTTAGAAAGAGCAACGTGTCTAGTACAAAACTATGGAAAACTATTTGATTCAAAATGGTCATCAAAGACTATAAGACCTGAAGAACAAGTTGTGCTGGAAAACTACCTTTCAACTTCACTCAAAGCTACAGCTGAGAAATGCACTTTTCTAATTTTTTGCGCCTGAGTTTTGATATTTTGGAATACGTTATATATGAGACTGACCAATGCGACGCAGGCTTTCTAGCCATAACAAAATATTTTAGGGTGTGGGGTGTGAGTGTGGGTTTGCGTGTGGGTATGGTATGGATGTGGCTGTGCATCTTCAGTTAACCCACCAAAACACTCATACCCACACCCGCACAACCACTCCCACACCCACCCACACCCTCACACCCACACCCACACCCTTTCTAGTCTTTTACATCCTTTGAAGCCAGAGTTATATATCGGAATTTCTCTGACCGGATCAATAATTCGAGAGTAAGAGAAAGTTTGCATGGAGTAAACGGGCGAAGAACATGATCCCTCCAGTATTCTACCAATGAGATGGAGAGTTTCCCTGGAGAACTGCATGTAACAACAACGTTCGAGGCAGAAAAAGTTTGCTTTTGATATCTAATAAAGTATATATCCTTTTATTATACAAGAAACAAGAAGTCGGTTAAATTACTGTCGCTCATCTTCCGCCTTGGCTCCTTCAAGCAAAGAAAAACGGGATTGACGAGTTTTCCAGCAAGATATGTCATTTTTTTGAATAGTTTAAGAGTGCGTTGTCGCATTCTTTGACTTTACACGAACCAACGTAACATTTTCACCCTCATATCAGAGTGTTCTAGTCGAGTGAAGTTCAAGTTTCAGGCCAACCTGGTCAGTATTTTAATTTTCTTCAGACACATAGTCCTTCATCTCCCGTTTCATATCGGCTAAAAAGGAATCAGCAGATGCAATGATAGCATCAGAACTTTCTTCATGATGACGGGTCACTAGTGTCGTGAGTTTTTTCGAACAAATACGGTGGCAATCTTTGAAGACTCGCTGCCAATATTCAGATACTTCAAGTGTAAGAACAGAATCTTCAGCAGCTTTTTGAAGTGCCCATCGTTTCAGATCCCGATCGTGGGCAGAGAGAAGAGCGTCTCGAACTTCTTCAAAATTGTCATAAACAAAGTCATCGATAACCTGTATCTTCGCTCGGTTTTTATCACCTTGTTCAATGTAATGACGAGAGCTGGCAAGATATTGTCATGAGTAAAGGATTTGAACCGATGCTCTGTCGACTTTCACCTGTGTTTTGTTCTGCCTTTCGAATCACGCTCATCGTAATAATCAATAACTTTTTCCATGTAGTCGAGACTGAAGTTCAGTTTAATCGGAGGCTTTTCAGCTTCCGCAGTCTCATCAAAGCTAGGATCAAGACTTTCATTTTCAAAGTCACTAAATTCTTCGTCATCATCGTAATCAAGGGTCAAGTCTGAATCGATTTCGAACGATGCACACATGCAAACATTGTCAATTACTTTTAACAATGAACTATTTATATCTTCCTCCCGTGAATTTGTTTGGGATCGTCAACGGTGTGGTTCTTCATTTTCAGTCTCCGATCAACTAAAAGCTTCGCAATTCTCGTAGGACTAATCATCCTTCTGGTTACACAGTTGAATGAAAAATAAAGTATTTTACGACGAAGACTCATGCGAACCATGTGTATCACAACATACTGTTGCTTATTACAATAACCATAACGCAGTCTCTATCATATGCGACAACAGAACGTGATGAAATGTGTGTAATATGCATTTCTTTTTATTTCTCACCGTCAAGCAGATGTATCTGTCACGATGTTTTGGTTTATGAAAACATTATTGTAAGCTAGATACATGAAGCAAAAGTCTGTGAACTTCATGATAATATGCTGATGATCAGAAAAATTTATCCGAAAAATTTTAGTTTGTAATACGTTTTCGTTCGTGGCATGATGCAGTGATATATGGTCAAAAACGTTGTATTACCTAAGAACTGGAAAATTTAATATCTCAACACAGGAAGGCCATGGGGCCGAATCCTTCTAGGATTATTCTAGTCTAGAGGTCCTCTCGATATTCCCAAAACATGAGTTCGAAAGCGTTGAATCGTTTCGAACGATTCTCTCGGTAGTTGCTACTAGGTACTGGATCCAAACTTAATGATTCTGCACCAATATCTACTGATTCGTGTTCTATGAACACCAATCATCATTCATCTTAGACACAATCGGATTGCATACCTCAGTCAGAATACAACCGAATCGGACCGGCACCTAATCGGCGATTCGGTCCTGACCAGACTGTACTAGTGTTTACCTAAATTTAGTTAGTTAAAAAAGGTCACGAAAAATTTATGATGGAGTCATCAATTTGTGTCGTGAACGGCCAGTCTTCAATTAAATGCAAACCACTTACTACTTGCTGGTAAGTGCTGAAGATTACTACATAAGAATAAATAATCAATAATTAAAATAATTATTTATCAGTGCTATTACCGATAATTTTTCGATGATCAAAACACTTACCACTTACCTGGTAAGTGGAACTGATGGCAAGTGGTAAGTATGACACCCCTAGGTGTGGGTGTGTGTGTGTGGGTATGAGGGTGTGGGGTGCGGGTGTGGGTGGGTGTGGGTATGGGTGTAGGTGTGGGCGTGGGTGGGTGTGGGTAGGTGTGGGTGTCGCGTGGGTGTGGGTGTGGGTTTGTATATTTGCGTTCTGTTCATTCACACCGGCACCCGTACTCACCCACACCCACATCCACACCCACACCCATACCCACACCCACTCCCTCATACCCACACACTCACACCCACACCCACACCTACACCCACACACCCACACGTACACCCACACACCCACACCCACACACTCACCCATACCCACACCCACACCACACCCACCCACACCCACACCTACACCCACACCCACACCCAACTCACACCCACACCCAACCACACCCACACCCACACCCACCCAGACTCACACCCTCATTGTTTTCTTTTTAGCATTCTTATTCTGCACATTCGGTTGTACGACCGACGAAATATATTTAGTGAATAAACTTTTAGTTGACATATTCTATTGTTATAGCCTGGATTCGTTTCTTTTTAAATCATAGAAAAAGATCTTATATTTATCTTTATATTTCCTTTATTTGTCAAATATAAACGATTTATTTATCTTTATTTCATAAAATGAGTATCAAGTAACACCCGTATTATTAATCATCAATTATTAAATCAAGAGAATAATATTAGCCACCCTAGCGAGGAGAATGTTTCAACTCGTGACGTGACGAGTTGAACAAACAGCAAAAATCACACCTTTCGTAACACCAAAAATAGGGGTATCCAAAAATACAGGGATGTCGTAACGAAATTTACAGAGCGATCGTAACGATTAATACATTTAGTCCGTAACAGTTCCAGAGCTTTCGCAACGAAGCAACAGGGATTTCGTAATGAGGGTGAGAGTGATGGCTGGACTTAGTTTGCAGAAATTACATGCTTTTCGTTACGAAAGCTCTGCAATAGTACATATTAAAACACCAATTACGATCACCCTGTAAAATTTGTTACGAAACCCCTGATTTTTTGTTACGAAAGCCCTGATTCTGTCGCTACGAAAGCTCTGTCGCGGGCTTTCGTACTGTAAATTCGTTACGAAAGCCAGACAAGAAAAAACGTGACGAGTTGAAACATTCCCCTAGCGAGTCCATTCAATAGAATATCGTTGAACTCGAGCATTCATACTATCGGCGACATAGAGATTGCCAATCCGATCGAAAGACAAACCCACGGGATTGTCGAGCTGATTTTCTTCTTCTCCTGAATCATTTCCACCTACAATGATAGTGCCATGTTGTGCTCCTTTAGGCCAACGCATCATTCTATGATTTCGGGTATCGACCACATAGACAGTGTCTGACATGTCGACGAACAGTCCGCGAGGACCAGCCAATTGTGTCAAAGCCTGTCCTTCTCCATGGCCTCCTGCAACAACAACCCCTTCTGTTGCACCTTTGTTCCATTTCATCACACGATTATTGAAATTGTCTGACACATAGACAGTCTGTTTTCGATCGATAAAGATTTGAATTGGACCACTAAGTTGATTTAAATTATCGCCCTTGCCATGACCACCTGCTACGAGAGTTCCATTTTTGTCTCCCATTTGATATCGCCTGACTTCATGTTTATCCACGTTAGAGATGTAAAGATATCTCTGATCATCCATTGCCAGTCCCCAACAATTGATGTTGTCGATAACTATTTCTTCTTGAATTGTACCACTAAGATGAAACCAACGGATCACTCGTCGATTCGCTGGATCACAAATAATAAGACTATTAGTCTCTTTGTCGATCAATACATCGGGTTTACAAGCCGATTGATTCAACTCATTTTCTGGATTATAATTATCACCCACTACTTGCCCATTCTTATCACCGATCTTCCATTGAATGATACGACCATTGTTACAGTCAGCGATGATCATCGTTTGATCATCACCAACGAAGAGATCCCATGGCAAGTTGAGTTGATTGGTGGCATCGCCAATTCCATTGCCTCCAGCAACCGTCACTCCATTCTGTATCCATTGGGCATTGACTGGAATGTTAGGAATCTCTACAATTACCGACAAGAAAAAGAATCATTGTTGTGCAGAACACGGCACCGTCTTTGTCAGAACATGAAAACATGCGACATTTTCAATCCGAAGAACATAGCTTGAATTTCGACAATATATACTTTAAAATATTTAGCATATCTTCCCCTAAGTATTCTAAGAAAAAGACTTTTAAGAGAATCTTGAGAGTGTTTCACTGTCATATATATACTCAGTACTTTTCTTGACTTTGTGAAGCCCAATTAAGAGGCAATGTTTTAGTATCTAGAGTAGAAACTTTGATTTTCTCCTCACTATTCACCACTACCTCTTTTACAGAGCGTGATAGACATTGTTAATATACAATCAAGATCTGTATAGCAATTATATCTCATTAGAATATCATGTCTCACATTGTAATCTTGCAGAAATAGCACTAACAGCTGCCCTATCATAAAAGTACTTTATGCCAAAACCCACATCTACACCACTTATCTAACCTGAATTCTGTTTACCGTTCGAAAAATCTTGGAGCAATTTATCAGAATCCAATCTCTAGTCTTAGAACAACTTCTGTATAGATTATTTCTCATCGTTACACAGAATCTTTATCGCAAGTTATTCAAGCAGCTGGTTACAGGAGCAACCAACCTTTTTCCTGATAGGACCTTCGTATAGAATTTTCAGGTTATATATAGGATTCCTACAAAGCTAGTAGAGGTCGAAAAATTTGAATATCTCAACTGCATGTGGACCAAACAAGTTGATTTTTTTTACCATTGATAGAGGAATATTTCTAGTCTATATTTATAAGAATAAAGTAGACAAAAACTCTTTCGAAATATCACTTCCAAAATCAATAAAACGATATTGTCCTCTTACGTCTTTCGAAAGGCACTATTTATATGTACAAAACCTTTAAGCTGTAAGATGTCTTACTTTTTCTGGTACGAATCAAACGGAAAACATACCTCTATATTTTCAGTGAAAAAAATTGGTCTACTTTGACCAGACTATGCTGAATTTATTGAAACTTATTCTTCGTGATGAGTTTCCAAACACACTGTAGATGAAATTTTTTCAGAAATTCAGCTAGGAGAACATTTATTGATCGAAGTCAACAGTGATACTTCAAAACAGCTCACTTGCTTGAACCATCTTTCTGATATTCAAATATTTCTATCTTTAGTGACTTTCTGTACATCCAATATATGTATTTATGTTATCTGTATGACAGAGAAAAGAAAAAAAATTCAACCTTAGTGAATCACGCTGAAACAATCATGTTAGCTTTTAGATGAGGGTGTGATTGCTGTTGAGGAAGAGAAGTGCACTCACATCCACACTCAACCCAACACAGCATCTACACTCACACCCAGTTTCACATCCCGATAACTGCGAACTGATCTTTATCCATATTGATACTAATTAAGTTCCAGAAGACATCGAAACTAATGTGATCTTAATGCTATTGATAAATTCAAGAAAGATTCTTTTGGGCTAGTATCTATCGATGCACTTACTTCGAGGAAGTTCTAAGTATGTACCATAGATGATGAAGAGCTTGATGTCATCACACCAGTACTTTGTCTCATTGCTATGGTTAGCGACTGGATTAAACTCAACGGTCACTTCCAGTTCTCGCATATCGTCATCCAAAACTAGGTTGATACTGCCTTTAATCGAACCTGTATATAAAAGATGTAGCGTATTCGATACTAGCATGCTGAAACTTACTTAGCTTTTTCTGAGCAAGAATTTGTCCGATACTGCTGATTCCTTTCAATTGAATGGATACATATATACTCATACTGGCACTTAATACAGCCTGGGAATATGGCCATAAGTTAGAGTTCCACCTTTTTGATAAATTGACGCGTTGCAACATAGTAGCTCCAGTAGCAAGTGACTGTAAGGTAAACTGGCAATTAGTATTATTCCTGTTAGACATAATTGTAGTGACATTGCCAGTTTCTAATATCCAGCTGTCGACAAGCGAAATATTGCAATCAGCTTGGCCATTGTTGAGCAAATTTGTATCCTGAGAAAGTGTCCCATTCGGTAATAGAGCGTTGTGAATGGAGAGAGCACTTCGTAATTGTCTGTCTGTAATATTGGTACCAGTAAAATCAGCCATGTACAGGTTTGCAAGGGTAAAATCGACGTTGGTCAAGTCAGCTTGCGTGAAGATAGCATGTTTAAAGCTAGAGTCCATGAAAGTAGAGTACGATAAATTAGCATAAGTGAAATCAACTTTAACAGAAATGGTTTGCTGAAATTGTGTGCTAGACATTCTCGCATAGCGATAATTGACTGATGCTAAAAATGCAATCAAACACTAGATTTGAGAAAGAAACAAAATTATGTTGAGCATTACCTAAATGTGCGGATGTAAAGTTGACATTGTCGAGGTGAACGTATGTGAAATTCGCATAGCTCAAGTCAGCAGTTGAAAAGTTTACATAGTAAACTCCAGCAGATGAAAATTTAGCATTGCTAAGCAGGGCGAATGAAAATGTAACATTGTGCAATATGCCAAATGAATAGTCAATGTTACTGAGTCGGGCAGATGAAAAGGAAGTATTGGACAGATAAGCAGATAAAAAATTTGCATGGTCTAGCTGAGCCGATAGCAAAATGGTTTTGAGTAGCGTAGCAAATAAAAAGTTGGTATTGTACAGTACGGTAAATGAAAAGTTGGCATTGCGAAGAATGGCATATGAAAAGTTAACATTATCGACTTTGGAAAGTGAATAGTTGATACTGTGAAGTCGAGTCAGTGAAAAATTGGCATTATCAAGTGTAGCCGATGAAAAGCTAACAGAATGAAGCTTAGTGCGTGAAAAGTTTACATTTTGTAATCGAGCCTTTGAAAAAGTAGTATTACGGAGAACAGTAAATGAAAAATTGGCATTGACGAAGCTGGTAAATAGAAAATTGACATTATGAAGCCGTCCAGAAGAAAAATTGACTGTTTCGTAGTGCACATGAGCGAAATTGATGTTCTCCATCTCAATGCCTACGAATGTAGTATTGAATAGAAAGATACCTGCCAATGATAAGTTATGTAATATTTTGTTATTAATTGATAAGTCACGAAAATCTATATTACGAAGTTCTGCTGTTGAAAGATCCAATGCGTGATGCTCACGTATTTTATTAAGCTGTTTGGCTTCGTACAGAAATCGAATAATGCGAATATTACGTTGTGCATCCAATTGACGAAAGATATTCAAAGTTTTAGCGCGAGCAAGTGTAGCTATGACTTCCTTAGAGATTAGTGATCCATTGTTTGTCTTTAACAGTCGACCCATCTCCTTAATGTAAGTAGCGAAAAGTTCGTTTTTATATCTTTCCTCATCCAAGTATTTCTCTTGTTCATATTGCAGTTGAGATGCACTTCTATCTTCATTACGCTGTTGCTCGGCTGCATTCTGTTGCTGAAGAGTGATGACAGCAGTGAAGACACCTAATGCAAGCGGTAATAGTAAAGAGGAGATAAATTTGAGACAATCTTTCAGCGTCAAACCGAATAATTTATGTGTTACAAGTCGAGATCTATCTGTTTGTATATTTTTTTCCTGAAAATTCATTTTCTGTTCTTTGTTGGATTCGCAGAAATAGATAAGTAGACGACGACTAATAATAATGGTGGATGCTAAATTTCTATACTATTCATATACCAAGAAAGCATATAATGTCATTACTTCTATGAAACATGATCCAGCTTGATTTCAACTTCATGAAAGTCATGCTCTAACGTTATTTGACTTTCCCACTGCGTGAACTCATTGTTTAATCCATAGAATGTGTCAAAGTCAGTCACGTTTGTTTCTCTTTTTTGCGTCACATATAAATTACAGTTACCATAAGCATCACTGAACGTCGAAGATCGTAGAGAAAAGTCAGGTTGATAAGGATGCAATAAAAGATAGCTTCCATACATGTATGGGTTTGAATGGAGTGTGGATGTGGGTGTGATTTTAATTGTAGGTATCGGGTGTGGATGGGAATGCATTTCTACTCACCCAAGCTGGCATTGGCACCAATCCACACCCCATACTTCCATTCTTTTTTCGCATTTGACTATTCATTGCTTTTGTAAATGTGACTATGCGCTGCCTTGTTGATAAATGAAATGGTTATATAGACCTAGTTAACATATGAATCGCGATAAAACATTTATATCCCACTGGAAAAGATGCTACATTATAACAATTCTACTCTATTGTCCCTATAACTGCCTAATTTTTCAGCAAATTCTATAGATTACTTTCTCCATTCTTTTTTTATTCTTCTAGTGGAGTCATTGATCGATATATGCAGGTGTTTGCTTATTCTGAGCTTCATTCATGCCCATAAATTTTTATTTAGGTTTCAATATCTGTATTTTATATTTAACTGGAATCTTTTTAAAGAAATTGTTCCTTGTCAGCAATTGTTTTGAAGTCGGTTTCGTTGAATATATACCACTTTCTGCAGATGTTCTTCTTACTAAGGGTTTACTAATTTTTATACCTGTTTTTGATAACCTGAATGCAACTGGACCGAACAACGTAATAGAATGCTGAGCTACCATTGATCTGGTTTCCAACAGAACTTTTCAAGAGTCCAAGAAGAGCGACTATCAAAATAATTCAAACATGCTTAATCTAAGAGCTCGAGTAATTCTAGTTAGCTGTTTTACACCTGACACACGAATGGATATGACTAAATCTGTCGGAAAAAATTTCGAATATTTAACGTTTCGCAAATTTTCTTTAAAAGTTTTATTTGTCACTCATTAGTTGAAACCCCGCTCTATAGATACCAAAATCTAAAATCTTAGGCTTCATGAGGTAAAGTAACTCATGATTTCAATAAAAAAAACCATAACAGAAACAATAAGA